CCTTTTAACGCGAGGGGAGGAGGGTGGGGAATCGAAGTTTGACATGTGGGGTAGAGGTGTCAGTGGTAGGTGTTTGAGACGGGGGACTGTTTTCTTTTTAGGGGTGAGAGGGGGGAACTGGTGGGGTCGAGAGGATGGGAGGCGCAGGTGGGGTATGACGGATGGGCCCGGGGGGAAGGGGGCGGGAAGGCCATTGGGTCATCACGTGACGGCGAGTGGGGCGACGGTCTCGTCCATTTCTTTAGGGCATGTACAACAGAAATGACCTAGCTGTCTGCCGCCAAGTCAGACTTTTATGACGTGGAAAAAGAGGACGAAGAGAGAGAGGGGGCCTGTCAGTAGAACTACAGATCGTCTGTAGCGCTACAATTTCGGGGCAGAAATCACATATTTGATCTGAGGGCGAAATCAAATCACAAACTGACTTGCTCTCGAAAAAATTTCATAATGATGATTCTTTCATGTGGCGCCCGACAGCTAGGCGCCGCACACTACTGTGCAGCGCCTCGGTCTGAGGCGTCGCACCTCCTGCCAGCGTGGCATCTCTGGTCCAGTTGCGGCCCCACAAACAGCACTGCAGCGCCTAAGGCTTGGGCGCCACACTGTGTAAAGTGCAGCGCCTATCGCTTGGGCGCTGCACACATTACAGTGCAGCGCCTTGGCCTTAGGCGCTGCACGCTGACTTAGCAATTTTGCGGGTGCAAAAACTATTGGAACGGTTCTGTTGTTCTCTGGACTGGCATGTCCAGGTGTGCAGCGCCTAAGGTCAAGGCGCTGCACTGTGTAGTGTGGCGTCGTGGCCTTAGGCGCTGCACATCTAGACATCTATTACGCTGCACTCACCCCGCTCCCACCCATCCCCACCCCACACACCCACACACCCACATAAACCCGAAGCTCAGTGCCTCCCCTATGCCCTCCTCTCTCCCCCTCTCAAATCCTTCTCAGATCCGGAGTCCTTGACCGTTGATTTCGAAGCCAACCCCTCCCTTAAGGTATTCTCCTCCGATCCCCTCGTTTTCATCCATAGGAATTGTCACATTTGCTCAAATCTTGCTACTTTGGGGAAACCCTAGTTTTGGCTTGGATTTGGAAATTTGTGTTGAATCATGTTATGTTTCTTTGCTAATTTGGTATGGTTATGTGTGTTTGATGTTGGTGTTAGGGTTATGCTATGATTAGGGTTGTGGTTATTGTTAAGTGGGGGTTAGGGTTGACCAAGAATTCTCGGTTTTGTAGGCATGGCTTCATCCGGTTCCATGACGAGGCCACCGTGTGCTAACCAAGAAGACATGTCGAACAAGTGGGAGGACGCATCTTTGGACAAGGTGAAGGAGAAAGATGTCAATATCCCGCCATGTTGGTGCGGAGATGTTTGCAAGGTGAAGGTGTCTACCGACCGAAAGAAATCATGAAGGGAAGGGCGGAGATATTTTGTATGCCCGAACTATGCTTATGATCGTGCACTTCCAACTAACGCCTATGACCAACCACAGGTAAGCTCGAGAAGTAAAATGTTACTCTCAAATGTGTGTCAACACTAACAAAAAGGTGTATGCAGTCACCGCCTCCTCTATGCAAGTACTTCACGTGGATAGATCTTGAAGTGCCAGAAGATGTCAAAAAGGACCAATACCAAGATTGTCTTAGGCGGCACGGCGGTTCGAAAAATCGTTTCGAAGAGGCTTGAAGGAAGAGCGTCGTCAGAAGGAGAGGATGGAGCGGAAGAAACGAGAGGAGGAGAAGGCACGCCAAGCAAAACTTGCTCGTGAGGAGGAGAGGGCAAGAAAGCTTGCAAAGGCTCGCGAGGCGCAAGAGGAGGACTCGGCACGTGACAAGAAGGGGAAATGGCCTCGCTCTACTCAGTAGGGACTTCGCTTTGGTGCACTCGTCGTCAACTATCTTCTAATGAATGTGTAGTGAACTTGTGAGGGCATGTGAGATGTTGGTGAACTATCTTCTAGGGCAAGCTGCCATTTGTCATTTGTAATGAATGTGTCGTGAACCATGTCGTAGTAATGTTTGAATTGACTTAAGTTACGAACTCATCGGCATAAAATTTGTGTTTGTTCAAATTGTTGTGATGTTGCAGTCATTGTAAGTATTGTGATGTTCCGGTGAAATGAACGTGTTGTGAACTCTGTTTTTCTAGTAAACAGCCGTGCAGCGCCCAGAACACGGGCGCTGCACTATACACTGCAGCGTCCAAGGGATAGGTGTCACATAGTACAGTGCAGCGCCTGGCTCTTGGGCGTTGCACTCTGACTTGGTATTTTTCGTGGACGGTCAGTGTTGCATGCTTTTTGTGGCTCTCTAGATAGCCATGGCCAGTTGAGCAGCGCCTACAAGACGGGCGCTGCACTGTATGGTGTGTCCCCTAAGCGTTGGGCGCTGCACAGTATAGTGCAGCGCCTGGGTGTTGGGCGTTGCAGTGCTGTTAACTGCCAAACTGCAGAAACAGATGCCATTTTGGCCTCATGCAGCACTCACATAACTTGCTTGAACATCGCTAAAATTACTGTAAACTGCACATATTGAACAAAGATAATTAATAACTTGAACATCACATCATTTAGGACAATTCAACATTACTACTAGTTCACAAACACAAATATCACACTAGTAAGAGTTCACCAACATATAACATAACCTCACAAGTTCATCAACCTAATGAAACGGCTACAAGAGCACTAACAAACACAAGCACTAATGCCTTCCGCGCGTGTTCCTGGTGCCACGCTTGCAGGCAATCTTCTTCCTCCTGGGTGGACGGGCCTCCTCTTCCCACACTTCCTCCTCCGCCTCCGCCTCATCATCCAAGCTAGCCATCCGCGAGGTCCCTACGACCACCTTTGGATTGCCCCTGTTGTCAAAGTCGTTGGGCGTGTACCGGCGTCTGAGCTGCCTAGGCTTGAACATATATGCAGAACAAACTTGAGCGTCCGCCAAAGTCATGTCATCATCAAGCTCATGGCCCTATCACACAATCAAACAATATGGTGAAGACCGGCGTCGTAATCAAGTGAGAATCACATCTAGAGGATTAGTCATACCTCTTGGGTGACCGCACCCTCATCATGCAGATAAGTATGTGAGGAACTCATATCGTCCCTCTGATGGTGAGATGAGGGGTCTGATGGTGTACCAGACCTAGAGGCAGATGCTTCATCAAATTCGGGATCACGGCAACCGAGAAGATTCGATAACCGCCTTAACTTCTTGGACTGACGCTATAACATGAACAAGTGTATAAGATATCAGACTCCACAACATAGACTGGCTCTCATAGTGAATGCGATATGTACCTTGAGAAATGCTCGTGGTGAACCATCATCATTGCCTTTTTCCAACCGGTATTTCCTCCAGAATAGACTGGCTCTCATCAGCTGCTTTCTTGATCTCGGTGCGCTGCGGATGAGAAAGAATGAACACGTTAGCCATTCAAACATGTGTAATATGGCCAACGGGAAAGTAAACAAGGAACACTTTACCACATAGTTAATCACCGGAACAGCAGAGACTCCGTGCCCTACCCTGACATCTCTGTTGTACTTCCCCTTTGATAGATCCTCAAAGTTTATGGGTTCTTCAAGAATATGCTCATTATATGTCGGCGGGCATATCTCAACTCGAGTATTTTCAAGAAGCCATCGTATGTAGTTATCAAAATCAAGTGAACTATGCTCACGAAGCTTGGCGCGTGCACTACTATGAGCTTGCTCCACACAAAGCTGGAAGCGGGTAACATACGAAGCATGATGCTTGTCCCAGTCCTTTATCTTCCGCTGCCTTCTCCTGTCCAACCTGCATGGTACAAAACCAAACATTAGCAAAATCAAGGAGTGACGATGCTTAGTCAATACAGTTCATGCTCTCTTATCTATGAAGTGCTTTGTCCGTATCCACCCATTCCGGCGGGTGAGGCTGGAACAGACCAAACTAATGAAACATGCGATGTGGCAAATAAAACTCAACCGCCCAGTTGCATATCAGTGGGTACCGCATAAGCCAGAGATCCCTATCCCGCAAGCACATCGGGTTGATGGAAAACTTCTCGGTGTAACCAAGTCTATCATCGGCGCCATATGGCTGCCATACCATCTTTGAAATAGGGCAACAATGGAAAATTGGTGACTTTTTTTCAGGCAAGCATGAGAAAAATGACTGAAGTAATGACCTCGTTACCTGCTCAGGCGTAATCGTGTCCAACTCGGCAATGTACTTTTGGTACATGAGATTGACATCGTTCGTCATCTCGGAAACCACATCCCACTTGTAAGCCCAAGTGGGGCGCCGTAATTCGTCATCTTCATCTTTATACCAAGGATTAAACCTGACGCTCTTCGGGCGTCCAACAGGCAGACGCTCCCAGCTCCATACAGAAAGTAGAAGCATATTACCACCAATGCCCGCACTATCTGTGATCCTGCGACACGCATCGT